ACATCCACTGCAACACCCTGATCTATACTTCTACTTACTTCTTCGTAGAATGCATTTAGGTTAGTTTGCCATGACCTATGTTTCATAAAACCATGCTGAATTCCTGAATATTATCCCTTAATAGCCGTTCAAATAATTTCCCAGTCACAGAAGTTAAGCTCACAGGTCTATAATTTCCAGGCAAGGATTTTGAACCCTTTTTAAATATAGGAACAACATCTGCCTTCCTCCATTCCTCCGGTACAATACCTGAAACAAAAGAATATTGAAAAATGAAATAAAGAGGTACACTTATTTCCTATTAACTCTGCGTTATGCCTACCTAGGCCTAGAGCCACTCGGGGTTCAACCTCAAGGCACCAGCCACACCGGTGAAAGAGCCTGAAATCTAATCAGTGATCACAGTGCAAAGCTTACAGGATCTTCCACATTTTTTCGGATGGCGAGAACTTGCACTCAGGGAGCTACCGAGTTCGTGGCACTGTGGTGCTGGCTCTGCAATTGGCCTGGGGCCAAGGAGGTTCCTCGCAAGGGTCCTCTCACATTACCCACACATTGTCATATCGTGGACTGCACATACCTGAAAGAGTATTGGCTGAATGGCATTCACGCTGGTCAGGCTTGTTTAGTATGCTACGAACCGAAAAATGTTCCTATGCACATGCCTAAAAAATTGTGCATGTTCTCTCCAACTGCCTTACCACATGTAAGATATGTATTTTGTTGTTCTTGTCATTGGATGTTGTGGCATGACTAGACTGTTTGTATCCCTCTGCACAACAAAAATAAAGATAAAAAAAAAAAAGATCACGACGACTCAGTTCCGCCCTCCTTTCCTGCCCATGAATGACGTGCGTACACACAACAACAAGTGGACATTAGGGCAAGGACAGCAATCGAGTAAGTTGCTATCTCTATGAATGGAACTATATAGCTCCGCCCCCAGACAAATACCATATAGCTCTGCCCTTATCCCCACCCACCTTAACTCGATCATATACTTGGACACGTGGGTAACTTGCTAAACAAGGATTACACATTAATTGAGAGGAGTGACTAACGTCCTCCCTCCTAAAGACATCCCACTAACCCATTATCCAATCGGAGTAACCTGAAAAGTAGATAGCCAATGGAATGCGCACAAACATCATAGCTCCGTCCCCCTCCCTAGTATGGCGTCAATCCTAATCAGAACACGCTACACTGACAGAGGCAAAGAGTCACTGATTGGCTCTCTGTCCTATAAATACCCTAGCAGTACCCAATAGAAGGTTATCCCCTGGTTCTCACCGTGACATCCAGATGTGGTCACCCCAGAAATGCGCAACAGGGGATTTGAACTTGAGGCCTTATGCATTCCAATACAAAAACAGAACAGTAAAAAAAGGTTGCGCCTAAAATACATAATAAAACATATAAAATATATAAAATATTAATAAGCAGTAGTCCAAAACACTTATCATAAGTCCGTAATGATAGGTGCCACGTATGGAAACAGGGATTTTTTTTTATTTATAAATTCTTTATTTTTCAGGTTTAGGTGAGGTAAAGGGTACAGAATAAAGGTAGGGGTAGGGTAGTAGTGTCATTCAATAGATTTACAGTTTTGTTTCAACTCAATGGCATTAGTACGATTTGTTGCGAAACCTCAGAACAGTCTTCTAGGTTAAGTGGTACAGTTTTGTATGTCTCAGGTGAAGGTTGTCACTTGGCTTCGGGTCCTGTCGTCTTTTTCTCTGAGAGCGTATGTGGCTCTTCCTGTGTTGTGTTTGTCAGGTTTTGTCTCCTTCGGTTCTGTTTGGGTCTGGGGTTTGGGTTGGTGTGTCTGTTTTGAGTGTGGGTAGGGTCCGTGTGGGAGTTTGGTGGTCTCAGCCCGTGGGTGGTCGCCTCATGTAGGCTGTAGATGTGGAGGGTTTCCAGTGTGGTGAGATCTGGGTCTACGCCTAGTGTCTGAGATTGTCCTCTTATATTCGTATCTACTGCTGGTGGTCAGGTTGTGCGGGGTGTGGTATTTTGTTTTATGTTGGGCGAGTTCCCTAGTCTTGTGTTTGTGCATTGATTCGTGAAGTTGGTGTGGGGGGGGTATGTGTATAGGGTTTGGGGGGTTGGGGGGGGCCTATATGGGGTCCCAGTGTGTTATTAGTAGGGAGTCTGGTTTGGGGGGGGGAGGGATCGCGGCTTGTTCCCGGGTCCTCCGCTTACGGTGCCTGTAGGTGGTGTTGGGTCCATGTGTCCCATATCTTGTGGAAGTTTCGTGTTGTGTCGTGTAGTAGGGCTGACAGTTTGTCCATTTCCATTGTTTCTTGTGTTTTGTGGATCATCGTGGTTAGTTGGGGTGTATTCTGATTGCCCCATTGTTCTGCTATCGTTCTTCTGGTAGCTAACGCTAATCTGGCCACTAGTTTATTTTGCGCTCTGGTGAGGGGAGGGTGAGGTTTTGAGAGCAGCCATATCCAGGGGTCTCTTGGGATATGGAAACAGGGATTTTTGAGATGTAAAATGGAGTAAATCTTCACAATTATATGCTTGGGATCCAGTGGAGCATATGTAAAAAAAAAAACAGAAACAGGATAAGTGTTTTGGACTACTGCTTACTACTTATTTTATATTAATATTTTATATATTTTATATGTTTTATTATATATTTTAGGCACAACCTTTTTTTACTGTTCTGTTTTTGTATTTCTTCTTATCAGCAGGGGATTATAGGGGACTCCCCTTTGAGGAGTGCAGCCTTATTATTATTACTACTGTTTGTGTGGATTTTTTTCTTCCTATTCTCTTATGCATTCCAAGCCTGCATTCCTGCTTCAGAGCCACTCTCCAGTTCTTGAGTCAGCCTGATGTTTATTCCTGCCTTGTCTCCAGCACTGGGGGCTGGACGTTACCTGTGGCTGCTCCTATCATCTCAGCCCACCTGAATCAGATGCCTAATTAGACAGGTATAAGACACTGCCTCTCCATGGTTCCTGTGTTTGTATTCGTAATCCAGTGTTCTCCAGTTGGCTCCTGACCTTGGCTTTCTTACCCTGTTTCCTGACTTCTGGCATCCTCTGACTTTGGCTTACCCTTGACGATTCTCCTGATTGTGTACGTACCGGTCCTGCAACTTGGAGCAATATCATGCGAAGCCCCCATGAACAGACTCACAGGCCAGGTGAATTCTTACCTGACCACCTTGGCCTGTGTTTATTTGCAAGGGTGAGCATAAATCACTGTCTACCGGACTCCCAACTAAGGTAAGCCGTGACAGTGCTGTTGTTAGCGCGTCGGGTTGATTTAATCACTCATCACTGTGGTGAAAATGACCACGCCACTGGTTTTAGGAGGGGCCTGTTTGCCAGCCTCCTGCCCTGTGACTATGGCCCTGTGGTGAACTTTGGGCTAAAAACACTGTATATTGGGCAGTATATGGGGCTTGTCGAATGGGTTAGGCTTATGGTGTTTGTTTACCAAACAAAGTGACGAACAGCCGGACCACCAGCAAGTGGAGTGTGCAGCCTATTAACCTCCCTGAAGCTGTGGTTAACCGCAGCTTAATTGATGAACGGCTGGGTGGTCGCGGTTTGTATGCACGAACACGTGGTGGCGGCCATCTTAAACTGTCGAACGGCCTGCGGTGTTTTGTTGTCGAGTGCGTGGAACTGTTTTCGGGCACTCACTCGCACAAACACCGCTGGGACTTCCAGAAATTTGTTTCTTTTTCATATGAATGCAGCGGCGTTCGGTATATTAAAGCACACAAACAAGAGACACTGGAGAATCATATACACGAACAGTCCTTTCATTATTTTAATGTGTTTCCCTACCCCTGAAATAGACCGGCCGACCCAGCTGAACTTATGGATCTATTCTGGGCAGTAGCCTTGTGGGCGGCCGTGCAGAAATGTGGCTTCCTTTTTTGAACCCCTGAACCCCCAGATCGGAGCTATCGGGAAATGTATGTTTTATGGGGGTCTTCTATGTTTTTGGGTGTTTTCAGAAATGTGAAAAAAACTTGTATTTTAGAGTTGATACAGTAATTAACTTAATTATCTCCTAAACAGAGGGGAGGGATTGTGTACACTGTATGAGAGTGACTGAATGTAAAATACTGTTTTGATTGGCTTGTTGTTCCTGTGCCCCACATGGTCCACCTGGGCGTCAACCTTGTGGGGAAAACTGTACAAAAGGCTAGTGTGTCTCATTCAACAAGCTGTAACGCTGGACGTAGAGACTGTGGTGCTGATGGTGTCTGGTGGAGTGCTTGGAGGCCTCGGTGAGCACTAGGAGACTCCGTCAGCAGAGGTACCCAACCGGGGTACCGGAAGTTCCCTTACAATCACTTTAGCACAATGCACTCTACACTGGTTTGAGTTTTTTTTTTTTTTTTTTACTTTTCCTTAGTCTTCTTAGGAGTCTGAGGGGAGGACAGCTTAAAACCTTGGGCTAACTTCCAGCTTAGAACACCCACAAAGGTGTTGTTTAGGAGTATTAGCCTTTAGGTATAAGAAAGGGAGAGACAGCGTTTCCACTTGACTAAAGTAGCTTAGAACACCCACGAAGGTGTTTCACAGGAGCTGCAGTGTTTAGACCAAAGGCAGACAGATAGGAGATCTGCTTTATCACAGTAGCACTGAATAGCATACAAGACGTCTCCTAGTAGCTGCTTTACCTACATACAGCAGGTAGATTTACAGCAATTGATTTATACAGTAGTATTGACTACCTTGACTTTAGTACTTGCTTTATATCTACCCTTGTACCTACTTGTCCTCCATCCTATTAGTGTGCAGTATCCCTCCTAGTGGATTAAATATAGTTCACTACTTAGTGAACTGTCCCCTTGAGGAATGGTATCACTTTTCAATGTAGTAGCAACTCTGTATTTGGATGCTCTATCTGACAAGAATCCATATGCAATGCACTGCTAAGGTTTTTTTTTCCCCAGGGGTTTTTTCCCCCACACATTTAGAGGTTACTGCATTTGTTCCTTGGCTGAACTTTCAACGGAGGTACCCAGTTGGGGTACCAGGTGATCCGTTAGAAACGATGACTCTTTCAAAACCCTTCAACTTGGGGGAGGGTAGGAACACAGAGAGTATCGGCTACGCAGCCCTGCACACGATATTCATGGGAACCCCGGTGAACAAGGGAATGCACGGAGTGCCCATCCCGCTCCTGACTGCTCTTAACTCCCCATGGGTCCCAAGAGGAGACTAATGGCGGGGCTATTCGAACGGAAGGTCAGGGCCTTTGTTTTAAATGTTTCAATTGTGCTATAGGTGAATTCTGAACTTTGGTTACATTATCTAAAAATGAATTATAAATTGGCAGATGCAAGGCTTCTACAGTCCATGTAATTTGACAATGCGAGGTGAGAGGTCATACAGAGGCACCTTGGCATGTACGAGTCACGGCTCATGGTTCCACAGATCCTATCAGCGTTGATCGCAAAGGAGATGTCGGATCGTGCACCCCACATGTGTCTGGCGACAGGTAAGACCAGACCACTCATGCATAGACATGTGCAATTCGTTTCAATTTGGACAAATTTCAGGCAATTCGGACATTCGGATACTTCCGAATGTCCAAATAGCTGAATTGCCGAAGTTACGAACTTCAGAAATTGCAGAATTTCCGAAGTTTCAAAGCACAGTATTGCCGAAGTACTAATATACCTATCCAGTGGAAGAATGAAGAATGTTACACTGTATACAAGTTTAAATAAAAAGTATGGTAAATTTTCCAGGAGGCCTGGGCCTCCC